ATTCATAGCTACGAATTAACTCATTTCTTTCTTCGTTCATGTTGCATTTCGATTTAATGATTTACAAATTGGTTTTGGTTGCGATTATTAGAATTCACTGACGACGAAGTTTAATTTTGGAGAACTTCTTTATTAACTATGATTGACTTCTTCACTGTTTGTGAATAAGATTTTTTTTTCGAAAGATTCGTGGAAATTAAAGGATGGATATGTTGCTGAGTGGTAAATTCATCGAGATCGCGTGAATTAATCCATTTCTTTAATTCGAATTATGTTTTTTACTTTTTGTTTTTTAGTTTATTCGCGACTTAACGAACGTGGTTGAGTTGTGAATATTAGAATTCATACGAATTTAACAGCGCAAGATCTTTACTCTTCCTATAAATCGGAATTATTTCAAGTGAAGAAAAATCAAATGTGATTAATGGAATAAAAATTAGATCGATCTTTGATTATTAAACGGAGAGAAATTAAAATACCGATGTATAATTGGAATTCTTCAAGGTTCAAAGAAGAAACATGCGAATAATAATTCGTAATAAATCGTTTCATTTCAACCGTGTTTCAAGCGAGAAAATTACGTCAAAGGAAAAAAAAAATCGAATCAAGCTATCGAAATCACAAGTTAATTAAAGAACAATTAAGTGACCAGGAATAAAAGATAACTGTGGAACAATTTAAAAAGCGAATTGATTAAACGAATTTCGCAAAATTAAAAAATCAGTAATTTAAATAAATCGCTTTATTTCACCCCTTTCGAGCAAGAATATATAATTCTCGGAAGAATTATCGGACGATAATTAAATCTCGATTTGAAATTTAACTTCTCGTCTCTCGTTTCAATTACAAAAAAAAAATAAAATAAAATAAAATAAAAAAAAAAGAAAAAGGAAAATACTTCATCCACCTTGATTCCTTCGCACTTTCAGACACGAAAAGACATATTACCGCGTCATCGGGGAGGACAGTACTAACGAGAAGATTTAAAGTCTCGGCCTCAACGTTGAATGGAAGATAATACAGGCTCGAAGCAGGAGCCAGACTGCTGATTCGCTCGTTTATTAGTCTTAAAATGTTGCGGGTAGGCTGGATTCAAATGAGAGCCAACTTTTGTTCCCTTCTCTCTCTCTCTCTCTCTCTCTTTCGTTTCTCGTCGTCCTCGGTCGAGGATGGCGGTACATTGTTTTTTCTTTCTTTCTTTTTTTCTCTCTTCTTTTTTTTTTTTTCATTGTACGAGAGTTCGTCGCTCGACGAATCGAAGACAAAGCACGGTTTGAAGAATGTTTGGAATGCTTGAGACGAGAGGGAGAGGGAGGATATCTTTCCCCGTGTTTTGTTCTTGGACAAGTTTCTTGGCAAACGCGCGGCTGCTCGAGAGATAACGTTCGAGTGCCGGTCTCTCTGCCCTCCGCTGAAGTTGTTTTCTATTTTCGACGTATCGATTCCGAATGGTAATCGGTCCGAAGAAACGTCGAAGCCGATCTTCGATCACGCGCCAATCGTTGTGTGCCTCGATTAATTCCACTCTTCTTCTTTTGAATATCAATTGTTTTTAATAATATACGTTCCAAAGTTGACGTATCTCGGAATAACAATATGTTTTTACTACTTCTCTATAGATACTTATATATATATATATATAGTGAAATAAATACACACGTGAAGAAAGAATCCAACATTTATCGATAATTACGAGCAGACAAACAGAGTAAGAAAAGAACGGAGCGAGCCGATCATAGTCCGTAGTGAAGTAGAATAAAAGGATTGTAATGAAACGAGATGGATCGAATTGCAGTCAGACAAATGGAAAATGAGAAAATTATTAGAACCGGACGAATGAAAACGATTGATATAAAATAATATTAATTAATCGGCTAAAAGAAAAAAGTCATAAGTTCCGTCAAACTTTCCATTCAAAATTAACAATCTAACAATTTTCTGATATTTTCACGCGAATATATATATATATATATATTTCGAAACGATTCGCTATTTTTTGTATCTCTCTCGGACAAAAATTCCAATCAAAACTTTAGGAAAGAAAATGCTAGAAAGAAAAATCCTCCCCCTTCTTCCACGTTGGAAAACTACTCCGCTACTTCAAAAAATGGCGGGGGAGTCGAAGGGCAAGACGAAGGGAGGGCGAGGATGACGAATCCAGCGGAGATCAGCTTTGCAGCTTATTGGGAATTAAGCCGCTTAAACGCCTCCGCTGTTGGAGGAGCGGCGAACTCCACCTCGAATACGCTTCGTTCGAGACACGCCGTGAAACGCGAGAATTATTCTCGCCTTCTCTCTCTTTCTCTTTCTCCTTCTTCCCCTCCTCTCCGTCCCTTTTCGCCACCAGCCTTGCCAGGATATTGACATTTTCCCGCGGCGACGCGTTTCTTTTTCACCCCCTCTTCTCGGCCAACGTTAATCCGCGCGCAATCGAGCGAATTCAAAGAGCGAAACTACGGGCGCCGCGTTCATTTCGACCATCCCCTCGACCAAAGGTCATCCTTTCTTTCTTTCTTTCTTTCTTTCTTTCTTCTATTTCATTTCTCGTGGAAAGTGCGAATATTTCTCACCTTTCGAAATGGAACTCGTTTATCGAACGAAACGATTTTTATTTTATTCCCCCCCCCCCCCCTCACCGTTCTTTCTTTCTTTTCCTTTTATTTTCTCTGTTTCTCTGTCTCTTTGAATTCGTTGGGATTTAAATGGGAATGATAGCGGAGGATTTGGGATCTAATTAGGAGAATGGGAGAAAAATATAGAGAGGAGAGAGTTTGGGAGAGATTTGGGAGGGAATCAGTTTGGTCGGTTGAATTTTCATGTTGGATCCGGGGATTGGGATTCGTCTTCTTCTTGTTTGGATTCAACGAGAAGAAGAACGCGGAGAACGAAGATTTGGATTTAGGGGAAGGTGGTTCAAGAAGCTTTTTCCTTTCACTGGATACGAAATTTTCAGGAATCGCGAATTAATTTTCGCGAAATGGATATTTTTCCTAGAGTTGCTCGATTTGAGAGAAATAATTGATTAAATCGAAAAGAAAATCCTTTTTTTCCTTTCTATAATAAACGAAAATATCGATTGTAATTTTCACAACAACAACAACAACAACATATTGATTTTTCTGGGAATAAAAGTGACGAAAGCATAACCGATATTATATCCTTTCCAATTATTTAATTTTTGACGAAGGTGTTCTTTCACGGATTAAATTAACAGAATGAGAGAGAAAGAGAGATGGATAGCCACCCTTCAATTCCACCCCTTCTTTTCTTTTTTTCTTTAATATCTTATGTCCGCCGATGTATGGAACAATAGAACGAAATGGATCAAACCGAACGTTGAATAGTTCGTTTTCCACCGTGCTCGCTTTTTCGACGTCGATGAAATTCCTGTTCCGCCACTGTTATTCTCATGAAAAAAAAAAAAAGAAAAAACAAGGAGTAAAAGAAGAGACAGAGAGAGATAGAAGGGAAAGGGAAAAAATTGATAATTTAAGCGGACGATTCTCTTTTTTCCCCTACAAAACCGGATAGTTTGTTCGATCGCGATCGCGAGTTAAAACAGTTCGAAAACAGAAGATTCAAATTTACGCGTGTTGGGAGAAAGTTTTCGACATTACCGATGGAGCCGGAAACTTGGACCATTTCGACGGTCTAATAGGTTGATTCGTGAACAGTTCGATTATAGCGAGCTCGTGTAATGCAAATTTTACAGGGGGATAAAATATTATCGGCCGAGCAAAATTCCGGTGGAATTAATCGGGATGCAAATTCGTTCTTCGAATTCGTTTCGAACGAAAAACGATTTTCTTATTGCAAGAATATTACGGGACAACAATTTTAGAGCAATGTTTATCGATTTTTCGATCGATGTTTGGAATGTTGTAGAGAATAGTGAAGAAATGTAAGGGTGGAACATCTTTGGAGAATCGAATGCACATCGTTCGTTTAGATTGATTGTTTAATTTTTGAAGAATTATAGAGAATGTTGATATATTTAACAAAGGAATTTAGAGATTAAAGCGAATAGAAAAATTCTGGTTGAAGCTTATTTAACAAGACGCGAATAATTTAGTCAATTATCTGATAGTTAAATAAAGTTAGATGAGAATATAGGAAAATTTTTATCGAATAAATCGATCTATCAACGACTTATATATTACATGTAAACTTTTTAATATCGTGTAATGTGCGCGACACAAATTCAAATTCATGAAGATAAATTATACTTGTACGAGAAATTTAAACTCAATTTAAAGTTAAGCTATTATTTTTCAATGAAAGCCATCCTGTATACAAATTATATCTGTTCAAAGTGAAACGCGCAATTTGATTACAGATAAAATAATTTGATGATCCAATGATCTACAGAAAATAATTGTATAACATAAGATGCGAAACGTTTGCAAAACAAAATTCCACAAATCCATTGCAACCACCTCTCTTAACAAAAAAAAAAAAAAAAAATCATCAAATAAGAACGAACATATTTCTCTCAAAAAGAAAAATACGATAAAGTGAATCGAAGCGATTGGCTTTAAGCCCCGTTTCCAAGGCCAAGATAAACAATGGAAAATTTGAAATGGATGATGATCTCGTTCGTCGACCAAGTATCGGCATCGAGGAATTTTTATAACCGCCGACTTCTTTACGTCCTTAATCGTAAAATTCATCCCCTGAGGATGGAACGTCTTGATGGATTGTTTAAGGGTTGACGAACCGGTAAAATTGTTAATTAACCAAAAAGTTCGAAGGGGAGATCTCGTTAATTTGCGGGGGACGACTTCTGGAATGTTGCCTGCTTTATCGCCCGAATATTCTGGTGAATTATTAAGGGTGAATTATTCGGAGCGATTACGTTGAAACGTTTGATTGTCAGGATCACGAGTGTGGATTTCGGTCGTTTGATGTGATGGTAGAAAGAAGTGATCGAGAGTTTGGAGAAATTTTTAGTTTGCAAAATTGAATTTGATTGCGCGTACATATTCCAAGCTCTTCTACACAATCTTGATTGGTGAAATTAAATATATTTATTGAAATCAATTGTATATATTACAATATTAAGAAAATTGTCCTCTGTAATAATATATAAAGGAAATGGAAATTTCCAAAATTAATTGTTGAATTATTTGAAAGGAGCCACCATCGATGTCGAGGAGGACCTCGACAGGTTTATCCAATATTGTTCAAGGTCGATCGATTTATTCCAAGTTTGAAAACGTTTACGCTTCGCGGAACGACCGCGAAAATTTTGAAACGAAGTTCCTCCTCGCAACATTTTCCACTGGAAATTTTCGCCCGTGTTATCGAGATGGAAATTGCAGTTAATACAAATTCGTCGAGGATGGGAGAGCAGGGTACAGGGAGCTGTGTCAGGGAGAATTTGTTTTACCGCTTTAACGCGTCGGTCGTAAGAGGTGCGCTAGAGGGAGGAGAGGAGAGGGGTGCACTTTTGAAAGAACACGATGTAACATTGTTACAAAGGGCAATATTTTTTCCCGTGGAAGCGACACCCTCCTCTCCCGGTGGTGTGTAACGTTATTCCAAGGGTGTTGTTTTATGCGTGTCTCGCTTACAAAAGCGTCGCAATTATGAAATTGTAACCCTTTCCTCCCCTTTTCAGAACATCCTTTTTTCGTTCTCTTCCTTCCTTCCCCCCCCTCCCCCCTCCCCCCTCTCGTGACATCGGCTTCCTTTCCTTTCACAAAGGAACGAGAATTATTCGGTAGATTAGACGAATAGAACGTTAAAAAAAAAAAAAAAACGAAAGAGTTCCTCTTGTTAAAAGAGTCTCGATATTTTGTCGTGTTGGAGAAATATTCGTTCGCGGTGCATAAGAAAGGATAAAATAAAGGGCGAAGAAGGGGATGAAGCGATCGTTTTGGAAAAAATGTTTCGCCGTTGTAGTAGGAAACCGTTGTTTTAACCGAATTTTTTAGTTATCGTGAGTATTGGAATTATAAATATTCTTCATACACTCCATTTCCATTTACCGTTGTTCCATGTAAAAAAAAAGGGGGGAGAATTACGTTGTATGCGTTGTAATAGAATTTCAAGAATTAACGAAAAAAAAAAAAAAATAAAAGAACGTATACGTAGAAAAAAAAAATGGAAAAAAAGGGGTGTTATCTTCGAAATGATACACCGATCGCGCGTCGAACAATGGGGAGGAAAGGGAGGGAAAAATAGGGAGGGAGAGGACTCAATTGTCCATGACGAACGCGAAAAAGCGTGAAACGTAATGGCGCCGATACAGTTGAAATAACGTTTCGAGATCGTAACTGAAAATTGTTGGTCGGGATGAGCGCCATTTCGTAAACTTTCTCCACCCTGATAGGTGGTGGTAGTTTCCAGGCAATAGTATAGATAGATAAAATTTTATGCGAAAGTTGGAGGATTATTTTAAAAAGCATAAAGTTATTCGTTGTATTAAATATTCAATTGCACTTTTAGTTCGTACAATTTTAATACATTATTCGCTCCCTTCTATATATATATATATATATATATAGAAGAAGTAAAA